CCCGCGAGTCAGTCAAAGCGTTGTCGTCGGCAGAAGTGCTTTTCGTTCCTTGAGGTTGTGTAACTCAGGCGCTCCTTTTGAAGTAATTTAAGGCAAAACTGGTATAATTCCCAGAAATTTTCTTTCTGCTGGAAATCCTGCCTGATGGGTGCAGGAGGTACGACACCTCTCGCTGAGCTCACGTGTAAAAGCCGTGTTGGTCAGGACCCCGGTTCCGTGAGCAGAGGATTCCCCACGCCGCACTTACTCTGAACTATAGAGCTGTCCTCGAATCTCGGATTTTGTTCTTTAAAAATTACTCCCAGTGTGTATGGATTCTAACAGAACTTAAGACCAATTTATGCTAAATTCCCAGAAGCAGGGTTTCAGAAATTTAGGATCAGAAGTGAGCTGTTCTGGTCATTTTAGTCCAGACGTTTTGTATTTTTGGCTTTTTTTTTTTTTTCCCAACATGTCCAAATTCAGCAGTTTCCATGGTTTCTGTTGGTTCTAAATTAGAAAATACCCGAAGTTACCTTGCTGCTTGCAGGTTATGATTTGCAGTTTGTCAAATTGTGTGAAAGTGCTGTGTTCCTTATAGGCCCAAATGACGTGCTATTATGCCCTTTGCTGACTTCTGTCATCTCAATATGAAAACATGTTGGAATAGAGAAACCTCAGCTTAAGTCATAAATAAAAACTGACCAGTTTCAGGTTTTTTAAAGAGAACCCATCTGCTCATTTTGAGAGACTCTTTCTATATTTGTGAGAAGTGCCCTTTCCTGCTACAGAAATGCAGGTATCATTTGTGTGTTGTTGCGTAAAATGACGTTAATGGTTAATGTTCCAAACTACATGAAGGAATTTGTGGAACAATGATGACATTAAAATATTAGTTAAATTACTCGTTTGAAAAGAATAAAACAGAGTGTCTTGCTCCTTTAAAATCTACCATTCTGAAGTCAAATTCCTTCTTTAGTGATCATACAGTGATGCAGAAAATACTGTGTTAGATAAGCAATAATATGTATGTTACGCCCTTTAAGATGAAAAACGGGACAAAGTCTCTCCACTAAAGAATCTGTAATCTGAAGATCTGGCCGTAGATTTGAGTTTCTGCTTACCGAGTGCTTTCCACTGTAGTAGTCTCAGCAAGAAGAGAGAACATCCACACAATGGTGTATTAATGGAATGGCAAAGCAGCACATGGGAATGGTTTACTGTTCAGTTTAGATAACACAAAGCGGGAACTCTTGAATTTTATCATCTTTTGGCCCTTCCTTGATCGGTGTCGCCATCCTTAATTATGGGAACTTCTAAATACCTTCCAGTCTGCCCTTTCATCTAAAGCTCCTCCTTAATGTAGGTATACAGAACTCTCTCCTCAGCTTCCAAATTCTTGTGAAAACCCACTTTGTCTGAGACGCCTACGCTTTTCACCATGCACATGCTTTGTGCGGTTGCCTCTGACAATCACATTGCGTGTCAAAGAGTAGATACTATGAGTTATGTTCCTATAGGTCTGCCATTTTGTATAGACACTTAGCAAAAAAATCAATTAGAAACAGCAATAAAAAAAGATGGCAATTACTCCCGATTTTTTTTTTCTTTTCAAATTTTGATACAAAATCAGTTGATGAACTTTTGCTTTGCTTTGCTATATACTGCTTATCTCATTTTAGTCTGCAGTTACAGCCAATATTCTAAATGAGAAAGAATAAGACAAGATGTACTTCAGTTTTAAAAAGAGCCAGTTTTAAAATAGAGAGTGGTCCTTTACCTGCACAATTGCAGCAGAGGTAGTCTAAGCAGTCTTACATAGAAATTACTATTGCCCGTCTTTGGGGCATGAGTTACTCTTTGAGCATAACAGTTTTGCAAATTACGCCTGTAGATTAAATGTGACCCTCGTTTATTTAGAAGCCCAGACCAGAAGTTATTACTGGTTTTCTTGATAGTAAATGACATTTATTCAATCACATAATATTTTATTTCAAGAGACAGAAATGATAAATGATCAAAGCATATAACTTGTGCCAGTAATCGGATAGACCTGCTTCTAGCCCTGATAGTAATTTCTTTCATGGTTTCGGGGAAGTCACTTATGTCTTTTACACCTTACTTTCCTCAATTATATTGGGATTACTAGGTTTGCTATGATTTTAGTATTCTCTATATGTTATATACTTTTTAAAGATTAATTATATTATCTGATATAAAGAAAAACTTAAAAGCTAACAGACAGGAAAGCTATTGTGATTTTAAAATGTTGTCCCAAAAAAAAAAAAAAAAAAGTTTGCCGTTTCATTAGAGCTATGGGTTAACTCCATTTTCATCAACATGTGCAGATCTTTTCTCCTATGAGGGGAGATATTTTTGCTCTGCCATCTGCTGATTCATACGTGCTGACGTGATAGAGGATTCTTTGCCAAAGTTTTAAGAGTTTCTTGGAACTCCAGTCATGCAACACTATTACTTAACAGTGGGCTGGGAAGCAAACACTTCCTCTCTTGAGAATTCCAGGAAAAAGGATGAAAAGAAGAAGGATTTTTTTGTGCTGGAGCAGTTTGCTGTTTTTCTGAGCAGAGTAAAGGCACTTGTGTTCTTTTAAAAAAAAATTTATTACTGTGCTCAGTCACATTTTGTCTGTTCCCAAAATGTGAAAAGCTCAGCTCTTGAGTAGTAGTTCTGTTGAGCATTTATGAGAAATTCGTCTTTCAAGTATGTCCTTTGTTACTAGATGAGCAGTAACTGCCTCAGAGAAGGTCACAAAAGAATTTCCAGTCTAATCTTCTATTTTCACTAGCAATATTCTTATCCCTCAACCTCTAAGATTGAAATTTTCCGTGTTTAATCTTTCGAAGCTTGTTTTACAGAGCAGTCAATCATGCATGTGAGAATGGAAGAAACACAGTATCATTAAACGTGACTTTTCTGACAATTGCAGGAACTTGGGTTGTGAGATAATTGCCTTGGAGCTGAATCTGACATAGTGAAGTAAAGACTGATCTTAAGTGAAGTGCTAGTACTTCTAAATATATTGAAGAAAATTAAGATTCTGTTGCTACATTTCACAATAGTTTGATTTATGTAGACATATTTATCAATACAAGGTGCGGTCTTCTTTATAAAAAAAGTGATTTTTCCATCGCTTACTCAACTGAGAAGGAGTCTGGCTGTTGCCTACCTTGTGTTTATTCTGTATGAATATTTGACAAACAGTATTCAGCAGCTGTACTTGAAAATCTTCCTAGTTTTAGAGAGGAGTTATTTGAGGGGATATGGCTTTGGTAGCATGCCTTTGAGGCTGCACATCCTTACATGTATACAGTGCCCACATGCATACTTCCAAAAGGTCATTAAATTTTTCCTAAGCTAATCACTTAACACGTTTATACCACAGCACAGTTGCTGATCCCTTGCCAGTTCCTTTTGTTTTGTGTGCTGTTAGAAGCATCAAAGGTTGTTCTATTACTGTAGTTGGAGCAGAGCGTATTGAACCACCATCAATAAGTATGTTTCAATGGTCTCTTCTACTTCAAATCTAACAAAACTTCCGCAGAAAGCCCAACGCCGCTCTCCTGCTAAAGGAGATCTTCTGAGAAATTCTCTCATCTTTACTCAGTCACACAGGGAGAATCATGAGGCTGAGCAGGTTTTATCCCTCTTTATCCTGAATGGAAAGTCATGGTTATTCCATAGCAGTTGGCATGACTTTACCTACAAATTTACCAAAGTTTTCAATGCATCATATACGTTTCTAGTGATGTGAAAGCTAGTAGCCGTATCTAATCCAGAGTATGATCTTCCACTAAGTGACTATGTTGCATGAGCAAAAGAATCTTGGGGAAATAAGTTTTTTGAAAATCTTAAATTAATTATTTCATCTGTTTTCAGTTTACTTACACAGCAGCTTCACTATGCTTAAAGAATTCTAATATGTAATAATTTCCTTTCTCCGAAGTTGTGCTGGTTATGTCATGATCAGGTATGTGTTGTACAACTTCTTTCGAATTATTTACTGTTTTATAAATCTACATTCTGTTGAAGCAAGGCTCAGAGGTCTTTGCCAAGCACTTTTTCAAGAAGGTGATATCCTTCTTATCTAGGGTACTGGTGATAGGACTTGGGAAAAACATTTTAGTCAATAGATCAGGCACTTCATTCTTAAATTATTACAGTCATCTGAGTGGAATCGTAGGGCTTTGGTGACATGTTGATTGTCAATGGTTTTGGTCTAGTGCTTACTCTTTCAATATCTCACATACTAGCAGCTTTGCTTTTTCTAGTACCTAAAAGAGTAGGTCCACTGCCAATGTCAGTTTAGTATCCTCTGTTATTAAAACTTTGCAGAGAAGTCTTCTAGCTTATTTGTATTATCCTTATTCTTCTACACTTCTTTGTTGTTCTGTAATCAGACAGTGCAGGGGATCTGAATCTTAAATTCTAGTAGACTGGTAGGAAAGGAGGAACTACACCTTACCTTAACTGGGACACTGATGGAAGCTTATAATAATGTTTTCTGTTGGCAGAATTTCAAAACTGAACCTGGCTAGCGTCAATGATGACAAGACTCCCACGTGCTGCACTGCATACCCTGTGGATCCTTTTCTTTTCATATGCAACAAATGAAGGTACGTTTGTCAATGTTTTAAATTATTATACTGAAGTTTTTATTGATAGCATTTTCCCATGACTAGTAGGCAACACTATTACCATTAATTAACTAGTATAAAATGTGTAACTTGTGTAAATGTCAGAAGTATCGGTATACTAGAATTAATTCTTAGAATTTTTTTTTTCTTTTTATTGACCTTTTGCATATGGGCAAGAAAAAAATAGGAATTTGCAGGAAGGAGAAACTGAGGTTTGGAAAGTCATCTTCCTGCTTCCTTACTATCCAATCTCTATTGGATACTTTGCTGCAAACAAGGTGCTCAGCAATGACCCAGGGACATCTCTGTAGAAGTCTCGTAAGAGTAGAAAGCACTAGTCTTTAATTTGTTTATTTTCATAACTGCCACTGTTTGCCATGCAGGACTTTGGAGGGAGCCACGCTCGTGAAATGGAGCCTGTAGGTCTGCTGGTAAAGGGCATCTGTCTATTTGCATTCTCCAAAGCATGCAGTTGGAGAATTTAGTTGATGTGATTTGAACAAATTTTGCCGGCACTTGCTGTCAGACATTACATGCTCTGACTTGTGCCTGTACAGGGGCAGATGACTGACATGTGATGTCCTATGCGTTCTTCACTACACCGTTCTTTAGTCTGGCAGGATGTCTGGCTGCATTGAGTCTTAATGCTGCTTGTTAGCTAGTGGTTATTTTCTGAAGTTTAGTTGGCAGGAGCTGAGTGTGAAAATGCTTTTTTCCTTGTATCTTTTTTTATGATGTTTGATTATAAAGACAAGTTAGATAGATAAAATCATGTTTTCCGACAATGCATTTTTATTCTCTGGAAAATAAATCTTACATTTTGCTTTCTATAGTTAAACAATAGTCTACAGTTTTTTTTGTTTTGGTTTGTTTTTTTTTTAAAGCAAAACAAAATATTTAAAAGAAAATTAAAAATAGCCTGTCTCTAAAAATGAAGCTTTATTAGCTACTTTCTTATGCACTATGGAATAGTACAATTTGAATTAATGAGAAGGATCAAGGTTTGCAAGAGTGCATTGACTGGGTCATCTGATCTAGGTAGTCCCACATTTTGTAAATTACCTTTATCAAGGTTTACTTTTACAGAATACCGCCCCCCCCCAGTTAAGTACATATTTTAAGTTTCTTCAGCATGGTATTCTAGTTGAGGATTAAAAAAAGAAATCCAGTATTTCGGTTCCCTTTTTTAACTACACGAACTGAAAACAAACTGTGTACTGTATGTGGTTTCAAAAGGAAATTCTCAAATATCTGAGGTTTAAAAAAAATACCATGTAGCAGAGATGGAAAAGGGAGAAGGTCACAGGAAAACAATACAGAACATAATTTAGAGTTCTGGAAAGACTTGAAGACACTGAAAGGCACAATAAAGTAAAGCTGCTAATCATCATAGCTTAGCACAGCAGGAAGAGCTTCATTTATTCAAAGTACTCTTGAAAGTGTAAGATCATTAACACCTTGAAAAATAATGATATTCATCTTTAAAGGACTTAAAATGTTAATACTACTTTTAAAAGTGGGGGGAAAAAAAGAAACTAACAATAAAAATACAAATCACAACCAAGTACAAACAACAGCAACAGGATGAATCGATAATGGCTCTTTTAAAATAAATGAGCAATGTGACTGTACAGTATTGCAGAATTTTAATCTTTAACTTGCAGCTTTTCTGATGATTCTTGGGGTTTTTTGAAGAATCAGGGACTGTGCAGAACAAAAGGGAACTAAATGTGGTGCTGCCATCCAGAAAGGTTATGAGTGATAGTTCTTATCTACAAGATAAAATCTAGCTTTAGTAACTAAAACAAAACAAGACATTTTCTAAATATTTGAATAGTAATGAAATCATGAGCTGCAGTCAGTTCTAGATTTACAACCAGTCAATATACCAAACAATTTAGATTATGATTTTTATAGACTTTTAAAATGGTTCCTTGACATTGTCGTACATCCTTCTTTGCGTAAGTGGGCCTCACTAATGTTATTGAGCTTACTCAGGTGATCCAGGACTGCTTGGTGGTCAAGTTTGGTGGGAGGCCTTTTAGAAAGGCAAGTGAAAGTATTGTATGGATTTTAATGAGGGTGAAAGACCATACACTGACAGTACTAAACAGTTAAGTGTTTCTTTGAGTCAGGTTTTTATTGAATTACCAGAAGGACTGGTGGTAGATTACATTCTGTGTTATGTATCATGTCCACTAAAAGCCATCTGACTATCATGTTTATTAACATTTGCAGATAGTGTACTGTATCAGAGTATGCAGAAGTTTTATCAGAATAAATGACACAAGTGGACTACAGGAAAGTAGAAACATAGGAAGGATAAAATGAAATTAGATATTTTTGACACCAAAAGTTTTTGTTTGGGAGGAATAATCTGAAACTTAGGTACCCATTGGAAAGAATAAGCCTATGAAGCAGCAGTGGCTGAAGTACAAGGACCTTACAGACTGTGAATTGTTGGCAACTTAATCTTGAATTTGCAATGTAAATGACAAGAATGGAGAGTTAGTAATGTGCTGGGCCATGTAAACAGAATTGGCCCTTGCATAATTGCTGCAGGAAGCCTTCTAGCAGAATCCCTTAGGAAACTATCAGAAAAGTATCAATTATTAGGATTCTGAAAACCAGCCAAAGCTATTCTAAATTTTTACAAGGAATCGAGATGTAGAGCAGGAGAGAAACATTTAGATCTGTACAACTTGTGCAAGAAAAGGGAGATAGGGTTAATATTTACCAATAACAGAAGTCAGACATCAAAGAAGGCAAAGAATTGTCTGAGATGACAAAAGTATTAGCTATTTCTGGCTGCTTCATTTAGAAATGATTGTAATCCAGTACCACGTTTGGCACGCTGCTAGTCCTAATAACAGTATGACCTTACTGTCACATAGCTCCTCCTCATCTGTTCCCTGTCTCACTCACATGGAGTGCATTGAAATAATGGAAAATGAGGCTGGAAGGGATACTGAGGATTGTGTATTCCTTTTCCCTTTCCAGTTCTAACAAAGATACTTTGACCGATGTTCTATATTTTTTTCTTAAATACTGCCAGTGAAGGAGATTGTAAATGCGAACATTGGGAGTGCAGAGACTTTTGCTTTTCTGTACCCTCTAAGTGCTTGGAACAATGTGACTCTAAATCTCTCCAGGTCTCTGAACACTATCATAACAATGAAAAGTGGAAGACAGAACAGGAAATACTAAGTGAAATTAAGAAAAGGTGTGTACTACAAGAAAGCCTGTGACAGGAAGATCTTCTAGGCAATGGGGAACTGCTCTGGGGAGGCAGAGGGCATGCATTTGGGAAGCTTAGAAGCCCTGTAGCTAAAGCACGAGTACATGCCTGTAGGCAGTGATCTCGGTCTGACTCTTAATTATCTGCGTTTTGGGTTTTGAACCTTTTGTATTTAACACATATGATGATGCTCGTTTATAATTAAGTGTTGATGTGTTGTAGATAGAGCTATCAGAATCGGATTTTCTATGCTTGGAAGACTGTGTTGGATGAGTTGTGCCTTTCTGTTTCAAAATCACTATTGCAGACCTTCTTCCTCTCCAAGACCGTAGATATTGTCTCCAGAAAGGTGGAGACATTTGGTGACATGCATCTCTTTCCGTTTACCTAGAACATGAAAAACAACAATGCTTTCACTTGATTTATAGGGGGTTGGTAGCTCTATTTAGATGGAAAAGTTAATGGTTTCTGTTTAGTCCAATTTATTCTTTTGATTCTCTTGCTTCTCCATTGTGTGCTTCTTTTCCCTAGTTATGGCTGCAGGACATGTACAGGAGTTTGCATGCTTCACTGACTATGACAAAGAGCTGGTTTGTCACTGGAAGGTGCCTGCACAAACAAATTGCTCCAAAGAATTCCT